TGGGCTCCTTTGTCTCCTGTTGAAGAATTAAGAAGATTTCACAGAGTTGTTTCTTCCTGTCAGAATTCCTAAGAAGTTGCTTTCAGCTACACATAAGGTGCTTTCCTATCCTCCTATCCTCCTTGGCATTCATCGCAATGACTCACAAGAAGAACTAAAGCTGTACCCTCGAAGTTCACCGAAAGCCAGAAAGTCTTCTTTCATAAGTGCAACAATCCTTGTGCAATTTTTCCAATTTGCTTCCTGTAACTGACTCCTGTTCCAAGCAACATCAGAATGTCCCCACTGGCTTGGACCAAAAAAGCATTCCTGGTCCCAGCTCAGTCGCTGACCATGACGGTCAGCAGGTGCCTGGAGAAGAGAGTAAGAACAAGAGGAGCACGTGGTGGAACTTAACCAGCTTAACAATCTGTTGACTCACAGATTTTGTTCCTGTGGCTAAAAGGTTTTAGAAGATTTTTCTTCCATGACCTTTTCTGATTGCAGCATCCCGTAGCAGTAATTTTCATAGTTTAAATACATGCTGCAGAGCAGCACCTTCTTTTTAACTGATTTACAACCTGATCTCTTCTAGTTTCATTTGATTTGTATTAGTTCTTAAATGGATTTTTCCCCCTATCTATCATCTGTGTTCCATATATAATTTCAGGGACTTCTATTACCTCTTCTTTCCCTGAAATCCTTTCCTTTCTAGGATTAAGAATCACAATCAATCTATTCTTGCCTTGTAGTGAAAATGTTCCATACCTTCAATCACTCCTGTCACTGGTCTATAATTTTCCTGTTCAGAGCACAGTCAAGTCTGTCTCACCTAACACACACAAAAATCTCAGTTTGTAACAAGAGGTGAATGAACTTCAGGCAACTTCAGACAACTTCAGAAAGAATGCATTAGTGTCAATGTCAATTAAAATCATTTCACTTTCTTCAGATCCAAAGGTCTTCCCCTTCTTTGCACACAGCAGAAACTCATGAATCCCACAACCAGTTTCTCACGTAAGACTAACAGTTATCCTACCAAATAATGTCCTCACTCTGTTCTCTGTTTCTCCCTCATTTCCTAAACTGCCACTCACACAACTCTGGTTGAAAACTGGCTCTGGTGCCCCACGCCAGTGAATCCACACCCTGGTGAGGGCCAAGGGAATCTTCATGACTGCAACAGTCTTGATTCTTGCAAAGCATAGATTTTTACTTGTAGGCAGCTTCTTTTTCACTGGAGATTTTTATTATTAAAATTTCAACCCGTGATCTACAGGGACCTGATTCACAGCCAAAGTAATTAGAAGGACTTCTGTAGACTTTACTGACCATTGCTTCTGACCCATTAGGAAACATAGAAGGTTGAAACAGATGGTGACACTATATCACTGAGTCACACCTTGCCTCTTAAAATCATAGAATCATTTAGATTGGAATAGACCTTTAAGATCATCAATTCCAACTGAACAGTCTTGAAACAATAAACCCCACCAAAACCAGAACTGACAAGAAAATAGCACTAAAAATATGTCTTAGCCACCAGGAGACTAATACATCCATGTTACACCAGTACCAGCACTAACTCAAACTCTATACAGCAAAAGTACATTTGCAGATCTGCAAATCTCCAGTCAAATCCCATACTAAACAGAGACAATCACTGTTCAGTTTAAGTGAATCTTTGAACACGTTTGCAATAAATCCTGCAAACCTTAAACTTTTATTATGCCAGCACTTACTCCACTGATTTACAGTCTGACTAAAATGAAGAGTCCTCATGGTTGACTCAAGTAACATTCTCTTACAGGGTTTCTCAAAGACAGGTGAAGAAGATTACATAAGGCAAAATAATGGATGAAGAACTGGTGCATGATCACCCATTCATCTCCTTACTTGTTGCACAAGTGCAACTCAAATATTTTCCTTAGCTTCAGGCTGATACTTGTACTTACAGAATCTTTTCCTGACAAAATGTAATCAAAACAGATAGAATCATAGAATCATCATGGTTGGAGGAAACCTCTTGAGATCATCAAGTCCAACCATTAACCTGTCACTGCTGTAACCCCTAAACCCTAAACCATATTCTCCAGCACCAGATCCAGATGCCTCTTAAACAATTCCAGAGATGGTGACTCTACCACCTCCCTGGGCAATCCATTCCTAGATGATGATGATAAGCAAAGACAGTTTATTTGACAGTTACTATCTGATAACTTAGTATCCCACAGTACTTTCCAAGCTATTCAGAATGGAAAGGATTTTAAAACAAAAGAGACATGATAAAAAAGTTTGCTGAAGTCTAGACCCAAGTTCCCAGCACCAATCTGTCTGAACCAATGGAAAGATGATAAACAACTTGAGAAAACCAGATAGCATTAAGGATCTACATATGAATAGCTCTCCAGAAATTCCTCTACCCACCCTGGCCCCTCTTTATTTTATGTTTTTACTGTTTTGTACTAAGAGATGGCAAACACACAAACTAACAAATTGGCAAGTGTACAAGGATATCGAGTCCATCTCTGCTAAGCTTTAACACAGAATATTATGCCTAATAAAAACCACTAGAATGGATGCTGGTTATCCATATCTTTGTGTGACTGCGCATGTTAAAAGGCAAAAGGAAGACAATACCAGCAGGGAGAAAGGCAGATTAACCTAATGACAGATTTAGACATTGGAAGGGTGGAAGGGTGCAGCAACGCCACAAAGGAGGTCACTAGCACAGACAGGATTAGGGTCAGGGTTCTAACTAAAGACTCTTGATTATAAATTCACTGCTACTTTGTAGACCAATCTATCCCTTGGTAATCAGGATGTGACCATTGCATCTAAATCAGGAAAAAGTGCCTGGGATTATTGTGATTTGGTAATATGTGTGGACAAGTGGGAAGGTGTGGCAAAGAGCTGAAAGCGAGAGATAAGTTATTAGATACAAAAGGCAGTGCAGAGGCAGCCATGTGTGCATGAACTATGGAAAGAACCTAAACTGAGAACAAGCCCAGAGTGTTTAAATGAAAAACAGGGATGTGTTATTAAAAAGAGGTTTTCCTTTAAATAAAAACAGGAAAGAAACTGTCAAAAGTATTTTTTTCATTGCTTCCATCCTGAAAAATCACTGAATTTAATTTATATTTTCCCTTTGCTATTGTTTGTGCTTGGAAAAGTTCAGAATACAATGGCAGGTATTACAAACCAAGCCAGTATTCTACATCACTTTAGAGTTGACCTGCAGCTCCCCTCTAGGATCAAAACCAACCCTCCTCTGAACTTTTCCATCTATGCCAGTTATTCTACCTTATTGCCTCTGACATTTCATTTTCAAGTGAATAAAATCAAATAGTAGTTCTGTGACTTACTCACCCAAATCCCAGTGCTTACTAGTGTACTCATAACAGGAAAGTTTTCCCAGTGAAATCCCCCTATGCACATGCTGTACTGCCATACACTTAATGCCTTACAGAGTTACTAGTTGAACTTCATATGTCAAAGAGTATCTTCCTTGTTTAATGCCCAATACGTAGCATAAAGGTATTACTGAAGTACAGGGGCTCTACAAGGTCAGGGCAAGTTATTTGCACATTCCTCCTAATGGGGTGAAAGTCTTATTTTGAGACAAAACACAAGAAAAAATAAGGCACTACATGTTATTGTGTAAAGTAGTGTAGAGCAGTCCCTTAAATCAGGATAGGACAATATATCCATGCAAGAATCCCCCAGAGAGCTGGACAAAATGCTACAGCAAGACAGAGATGTCAATGGACACTTTGTAAATTTTAGGAAAGGCCCTGCACAGTTTGTGTGGCTTTCTGCTCACCTCACTAAGATGACAATCAAAGTCTAGAGCTTTGCTCCTGTGATCAAGCAGTTTACTTAAAGGTTCCTTAATGCAATAGCTGTCTAACCTTTCTCAGACAAAGCACAGCAAGGTTGCCCAGTGGGACTGCATATTTAAATGAGGAATTTACAGCTGTCAGTCCCAGAAGAAGAGCAGCTGGTGGGCTTGTGCTGTGTGAAGGTCATGGCTGAATCAGTCAGCATTACTTTGTAAAGGCTGTGGCTGACAACAGCAGAGAACAACAGGAGAACCTGTTGGCTGCAGGTGAGTTGTTTACTTGCATACCGAAGTAATATACCAAAGCAGAGTTGCACAAAGAAAACTTCTTGTCCACAAAACACTGCCTTTGATCACTGTAAGCTGGAGGACAAGGGAGCAATAAGTGACTCTACCCTTCTTGCCATTTCACTGTACAGATTCGTGAGTGAAAGTTATGTGTTAAAGGCATGTGCAGCACTGCATGCAGCCACATCACATCCTTCTGATGGACTGGAACTTTGTTAAGATAGTGTTTCTTAGCCACAAATAAACATGCACAAATTTGCAAGCACACTTTGATTTCTGATCTAGTCTAAAATGACTGATTTCCTCAAGACTGCCAGGCTTGGAGACTTAAGGCATCCTTGGCCACAGTCTTCTCCAAACTGTGTATGGCAAAAGGTGATCTACTTTGCAAATTACTTTAATGCTACAGAAAGGACAACTAAGCACAGCAACAGAGATGAGCCCTGTACTTTACATTCAGCCCTTTCCATATCACTGCCTGACCTGCAACAGGAGACAGTCTGCCCAAGGTCTGTGAAGGTAGATACAGTAGTGAAAATGCAACAGAAACCCATACAAAACACAAACTGGAGATTGGCAGTGGAGAAAAGCTAACGTGCAGTCACAAGGGTGAGAAATTTAGCCCAGACTTGCTGAGGCCAACACAGTGCTTTCCACATGGGTCCTTTCTTGCAACCATTTTCATCATAACCAGCTGGCAAGCAGCAGTAGCTCAACAAAAATACACCAAAAGCAGACCTCTGCTCATATCTGTTTCTTCTATCCTGACAAAAAAAATCCTCTCAGCCCAGCCAAGCTCTGACAGAATAGAGGTTGCCTACCTTTAAACAGAGATTTTATTCCAAACACAAACCTTTCTCAGAATCTACAAATCCTGCAGTTCACCACTTACCTATCCAGACTGTCCTGAGGCACTTTACTCCCTCCAGCTCTGCTGTTGACACTGGCATTCTTGTTGGCAGTCATGGTCATTTCTGCTTTCTAGAAATGTGGATATCTGTGAGGAAAAAAAGTCAATTAAGTCCAAAGGACAATTAACTGCTAGAACTACTATGCTGTGTTAAAGCAGAACTCCAGGTTGCTTTGCGTTCTCTGAAATGCAATCAGTCTAGTCATGATCCTGAAACACTACACCCTACCTCTCTACTGCTGCTCTTTCACATCCACAGCCAGGTTTATCAGAGTCCAGTGCTATAAAGGGAAATATCTTATGAGAATTAGGTGTGTACTTCAGGTTCTGACCTGTCTGAGGAACAGATCTTGATATCAAGTTCACAAAATATCTCAGCATTGGTGTGGGTTTTCCATCCATCAATGTATGTGGAGAACCCAGTAACTGCACCATGTGATATTGCAAATACCATCGCTGTCACTGGCATTTTGACCACACCAAAGCTATACCAAGGCATGAAGAAAGCTTCCTCAATTTTAAAGTGCTGCTCTATTATGAAAATATTTTCTAATAGTGAAATTTATTCAACAGTGGATTTGTTGAATATAATGTTCAAATCCACTTGCAATATGAAAATATCACAGATGGTTTTCTCTACTGGTCTCAAGATTCTTCAAGTAAAACTGTCTTCAGACACTTTTAAAACCTCAGGTAATAAAAATAACTCAGAATTGCTAATGGTTCTTTATTCGTCATTTGGCAATTCCAAAAGTTATTAATTTAATTTCAGCCCTGTATATTCAGTTAAGCAGGCAAAAGACAGGTCTTGCTTCTGTGACATTACTGCACATTGGCAAAGAAAGAGCCCAGTACCAAAATTTATTTTGCCTTCATCCCATTATCTTGTCGTACTGTGACTGAAGGGAGAAAAAGCTGATATGGATATAGGCCAGGATGCAATCTGAAGGATGCAAAATGGTAGCCCCTCTATTGACTGTCACATGTTTTGCTGGTGTAGAGCACAACTCTTAGTGGCCATTTTCTTTGTCATTGTGATGTCTTGAGAAATATTTTGTAAAATGAGGGAGGAATGTATTTTCACATCATGATAAGATTTCTAAAATGTCAGCAGAAACCCTTGAGAAGAAAATTGAACAGTACTTATTCGACCTGACACTACAGGAGTAATTTACCAAGGGTTCTGTGACTGCTGGCACTGCTTTAGGTGGTTTCTGAGATGCTCCTTAGTTTATAGGCTAAAACATCTACCATGGTTTACAGCACAGTCTGACCAGAACTACCAGTTTTTACAACCATTAATGGCATAGCTAATGCCAAAATAAGGAGTGTTATGAAGCTTCTTGTTTACTCAAACCCACACTAAGTCCAGACTGCTTGAGAAGTCGCTGTAATGTGAAGTTGCAAAGCAATGACAACACACAAAAATCCCCATCTAGCTAATGGTGGTGAAGAAGACATTTTCTAAACTACTTTATTCCAAACAGTTCTGTCACAAATATGGTCAGAAAATCTCTGGCAGATTGCAGCTCCAGAGGCAGAGTCAATCATACTGACCACAGACTCCAGGTCTACTTGTCCTTCCTCAATGTCTTGTATCAATTTTCCCAGATAAAGTGGAGATTTTTTTCCCCAGTTGGTAATATTTTTTCTACACTGAAGCTCCCCAGATTTCTCCATGTCTCAGTGTTATTGTTAGCATATCAAGATAACAGGACTGTTACAGAACTGCCTGTTCCGACTCGAAAAGGGATTGCTTGGGACAAGAAAGGAAGTCTTGCTGATTCTGGCTAAGCTTTCTAGGACTGTACATTCCACAGAGAGCAAGCAGGTTTTTTAATGCTTTCCACTCCCCAGATCAATACTTCTACTGTGTTAAATTTGTCTAAATGGCTTATTAGCAATTAATGTGAGGAAAAATATATAAACATGGCATAAGGAGAATAAGAACTGTGAGCACACAGGCATTACATTCATTTTTGAAAAATTTATTTTTCTGTTGAAGGCAAAAATAAGCTGAACAGACCCTCAAAAATGGGATTCTGACCTGCCACATTAAAAAAAAAAAAAAAAGGATAGTGTGCTTTTATGTTGTTGTTTTCTAAGAGTCCATTTTTCCCATACCCAAAATCTGATGAAAAAAAAAAAGTGGGGAAGTCAAAACTTGATAAAAATCATTATGGTCAATATTTAAAGAAGAGATTAATTAAACCTCACCTTTCAGAGCAACCTTAAATGTCAAATAGGCCAAACTGGTTTGCTTTCAGCAAAAGAGGAATTGAATTCTAAAAGACAATTTCACAAGATACATCAGATTTAGTGAGATAAGTGTGTTTCTTTCCATGCAGTTGAGACTCTGGTATAGATGGTGATATCAACTGACTTTTCTGTGCAATTTTTCTTTAGTGCTTATTTTGGATTAATATTTTATGCAGGTGCAGGTGATGCTGGTATCATCCCAACATATGCAGAGAAAATGCAAACAACCTGAACATAGTAGAAAAGTATTCAATCAACAATTTACAGAGGTGCCTGAGAGCAAAAACTCCATCCCAAAATAAAAACACACCTCCACACTTCCCCTTCAAAAAAAACAAAAAAAGGCAACAAAAATCCAAACACCCACCAGAGACAAAGATTTTAAAAAAAAACAATTAAATTTTATGGTCATGTACCAAGTTACCTGAGAGCCCCACAAGTTTATTGAATCATTGCATGGTAAGAATCACATCCCTTGGGTTTGGGTGAGAGCATTCTTCACTACAGTATTTGCAAATTATTCTTCACAAAGCAATGAAAACCAAAATCTCTCAAGTATTGTGACATACTCTTAAAAACAAATCCCAAAATACTCTTGTCACCCAGATTCTGTATTGCCTAGAAATCCATCTGAGTAAACTTTGTCTAAAAATGCAGAATTCTGTTTTATTTATAAACAAAGAAATCCTCTGAAACCCTTATTTAGCCCTAATTTGTGCTTTACTCCAGACATGGTCTCACTGATTTCACTAGGACAACTCTCAAATTGGCAATTTAATGAGCCCAGAATCTCGATGTGCTTCATTATTTCATCAATTTTGCCTAAAACCTCCACAAACCATTTATGAGGATCAGAGAGTAAAGATGACAGACAAGTATAAAAAACGCTGTGATGGCAACATGGGATCTGCTGCTCATGCCAGGCAAAGTTCAGCATCCTGCCTGAAAGTGGCTGCTGCAATGCAGAGATTTCCTAACACATTTCTATCATTGCAGGAAGCCCAAATGACAGAATATTCCTTATGGATCATCTGCCCCCCTCTTAATGGCATCCTTAAACTTTTAAAATCAAAGTGTGGCCTGGAGCTTTTTTTTATGGACAGGTGGGGCACTGAAAGCTATCACACTTTGGGCTAATGAACCTTACAGCATCATTGAACCCCTAATTCCATTAACAAGTCTTAGCAGGGAAGGAGTAAATCCTACACTCCTCTCCACTGCAGTTTATACTTATGCTTAATTTCCTAAAGCATTCCAACACTTTGGAAGCACCCACTCTCAATCCCACTGCAGTGCAAGCTGTGAATAGGAGTGGGCTGAGGAGTGAGGCTTGGAGCAAGCACCTGAAAATTCAAGGCAACCAAGAGTGCTTTATTCACTCTTTATAGCCTCCTAAGTTCTCAAGAAATCCTTCTGCTTTCTAATATACACTGTATGCATCAGTTAGCACATTCCAAAAACTGATTACCTCCTCTCCTTCTGTGGAAAATGAGCAACACCAGACCTAGTTATTCATGTCTAGGCTCAGATGTCTTACGCAGCATCTATATAGGGTGTTTTAGATCAACAGATGTTTTAGAGATAACATTTTATCATCTGAATCATTATATCTTCCATTCTGTTAATATAACAGGGGCAGAAGGGGACTTTTCAATAGAAATTTCTTCAGTTCAACAAATGGGGGGTTTGTTTGTTGGGGGTTTGTTTTGTCACTTTAATACTGTGCTCAATGTGTCTTCCTATCCGTATAGTCCTTTTCCCTACTTAAGTCTTAAAATGAATTCATTGCACTGCATTTTCTACACTCATTCCTAAATCATAACTTCCATTAAATATACAGTTCCAGTAAGAAGTCCTTAGAGTATGTTGCAGTGCCTCAAAGCCAGTTTTCTGAATGTCAGGAACACAAGCACTGCTATTCTGGCAGCTTAATGAAGAAAAATCCAGATTCTGTTGCTTACTGATGAACCCTGAACTCACACAAGCAAAAGACACCGTGCACATGGCTCTGGCCAGGTGCTCACTGAGACCCAGGCTGCAGCACAGAGCAGATGAAGTTAGGAGGGTAGCAAAGAAGAATTTATGTGGGATGTCTGATGGCTTGAGAAAGGAGCCTCTGACTGTAGGTTCCAAGCCCTCTCCTGGCATTTTCGCTAACACGGGTGCAAATTCTACAAACAAAGTGTACGTGTCCAGCAAGGACACCATCTGTGTTCATCAGGCTTCTCTGTTCTGGACTTCTGCTCCTACTTTTGAGAAAGGTTTGTTAGTTATTGTTTGTAAAGTCTTTGTTGATTCATGTGTTCCAAAGATTAACCTATACTTAACTTTCCTAAACTGAATCAATCTATACTTTAAACAATATCATTTCTAAGGTCTCATTTGGATTCTTGAGATCTACTTGAGGATCTTGAGTTTTGAAGCCTTTTAAGGCAGATGATTTTCCTCTCAAAATTCCACTGATCTGGGATCTGAAAATTATGGGCAAATATTACTGGTTTTGTCTGCCCCACAGGGCAGAGACCTGGAGACATAACAGGAAGGCATTACAGAGAGGAACTACAGGCTGCTGAAGCAAACTTATGCTTTTGAAAAAGTACTTCTTAATAAACACAAACTCTCAGAAATACATTATTAATAATATTCAATTTGGAGTAATTATTTTTTCTCTTAAGTAGCTGCAACAGAATGTCTTAGGCATTGAGAAGTTACCTAAACATATCAATGTGCTTTTCTGGGGCATTGAGAAGTTACCTAAACATATCAGTGCTTTTCTGAGTGCTTTAAGGAACCTTGTCCACAT